GAACTCTCACCTCCTCAGTTCAGTGGACAATCTAGTGTTGTGACCTGTCAGTCACTGGCTCCTCTAGCAGCGGAATCAGAGGAGGAGGAGGCGGCCTCAAGGCAACCTGAGAGCTCCAAGGGAAAAAAGGGAGTGGAGCTGTCAGAGAGAGAGAGAGACAGACAGACAGATAGATAGAGGCAGAGCATGGGTCAGCCCTCAGATGGAGAGTCAACAGCCCCCAGGTCTGGAGGTGGCTGATGAGAAAGAAGAGGAACAGTTGAGTCCAGTGCCTGATGCGCAGATGTGCAGAAGGCAGAGGAGAGGAGAGCAGTGGAAATCTATGGGCCGGTCCTTGGGATGGAAGAGTCACTGCTGCTAACAAAGCCCCACCCTAGCTCTGGGGATCAAAGGCAGGGGGCGGAGATGAATGGGTGTGGCAGTCAACTATTCATCTCCCTGCCAGACAGACTTGTTAGCCTGTAGTGAGAGAGAAACCTTTTGCCAGGGCTGCTGGTACTCCTAATTAAAGCAATCTTTGAGTTCATTTCAGAGGGTTTGTTGCATTTGGGGAGCTGGATCAGAACACCTAATTTCTCCTAGTTCCTTCCCAAATAGTAGTTTGAGCCAAACTGGTAACTAGTAAGATCATCAAATAAAATATGCTTTAAACACGTGAGATGAGGAACGTAAAGGCAAAGGATTATGAGTTGTTGGACAGTGATTACTAAACTTTCATCTTAATTCATTGCTAGATCTATGAAGAAACATGGAAGACAAGGAGAGAAACTAACATCATCTGTGGCTTGCTGGTTGATATCTACCGTATTTTTCAGAGTATAAGATGCACATTTTTTGCCCCTAAAAGAGGCTGAAAATTTGGGCGTGTCTTATACACTGAATGTAGCCCTACCCACCTACCGGCCCTAACCCTTTGGCCTCTGCCTCCCAGCAATTTACCTCCTTGTAGCAAATGGGGGCTTGCAGAGGCTGCAATAGGCTATAGCAATCCCTGCAGCCTGAAACAGCTGATGATCACGAGAAATTGAAAGTGAAACTTGCTCTTTGCTCCAGAGGCAAATTGCTGGGAGACAGAGGCAAAAAAAAAATTCTTGTGCTAATCAGGCTGTTTGCTGCAAGGAGGTAAGTCAATAACTATAAATGCCTATAGAACGTTCAAATTATTAGACTTATTTTTTAAAGACCGTTTTATTATTATTCTAGACAACTTAACAAAATGAAGAAGCTTTTTAAAATAAAATGTTTGTTCTGAAGATGCCCAGTGCTATTGTATCTCCTTTTAAATAGCAGAGAATAACTATACCTCCACATCAATTTTAACAGCATCTGTACAAGTATAGTCTGAAATGTAACACTAGAAACAGTGTACATTGTCTGTACTGTTTGCTGTTTCTTGCAAGCAGGCAAATTGCTGGGAGGCAGAGGCAGATATTTTTCCCTTATTTTCTTCCCCAAAAGCTAGGTGCGTCTTATACTTTGGAGTGTCTTATACTCTGAAAAATACGGTAAATACATCTGTTGTGTTGACAGTACAGGAGCACCCTGGCTCCAGTGGTTAGGACACTGGGTATGGGGTTAGCAAGCCTGCACTTGAGACACAAGAGCTGCCATGTGGTGGGGTTCAGCTCCTGTCCTTTGCTCCAGCTATCCCAGGGACATGAAAGGAAACCTCAACTGAGCATCTTTGGGGCAATGGTGTTGCCACCAGCTAATCCTTTGAACCCGGAAGTGCCTCGGAGCTTCTGACATGAGTGCAGTAGTACTGACAGCAGAAATGTAATTGATATATTGTATATTGAGTCTCTGCTTCAACCAGCAAATATGTTGTGGCCCATCGGCAGCCAGCAGAGCTGGCAGCAGAAACAGACAGTGAGGAGGTTGGGGAGGAACATGGGCCAGTCCTGGGGGTTGAGGAAAGCTCAGACGAGGACTCTGTTGGAGGCAGAGAAGGAGCTAGACAGCAGTGAGGCAGAAGAACATTGGAGCCTATTCCCAGTGAGCTACCAGAAGACAAGAAAACAAGAAAGCTTAAGAGTAAAGCCACACCTTGG